GATGAGGAAAAGGAACCAGGGTCCCCAGCACAAGCCACAACCAAGAGTCTCCATAGGTCCTCTCCTATTCCTTCTGGAGTATCAGTGGCCAGTCTCTGACCATAGGAGTGAGGTGTCCTCAAGCAAGGCCAAACCTGCATGGAAGCTCCAGGCTCCTGCAGTGCAGGTGTCCACATCGTGTCCTCTGGGCCCCTGTGAAGGCACCAGAATTGAGCTCCTCGAGTCTGGGCTTCCCTTTCCTAGGCGGAGAGGCAGGACTAGGCTGGCCGCCAAGGTGCTCAAAGCCGGGACCGGGAAGCTACAAGAACCAAGAAAGTTTTCCTCCTTGAATCCTGGGATCATAGGGGACAGGAAGTACAGCCTGCCTGGAGGAGATCTCAGGAGGCCTGGGTTGAGTTGGAAGAGGGCCCCACCTCGGCCCATCGTTCCTGCAAGCCACCCTGGCACTGTGGCCAGTGACCCTGTACACTCCGTAGATCCCACAGTAGGGGAAGACCAGAGGGGTGGATTTCAATGCCCACCTTGCAGTACTAGTGCTGCAGCCTTTTGATACAAAGCAGGAAGTCGATGGCATCACTCTGGACCACTGGCTCCATGGGCTGCACAGCCACTAGAAAGTAAATCAGTGAGGCCTCCCACCAGGCTCTCCCAGAGGGGCTCAGGCTCGGTCTCCAGAATGTCGCTGGGGAAGGCGGGTGCAGCTGTACCCTCTTGGCCCACCCAGGGCCCACAAGCAGGAGGACCAGGAACAGCACTGCTACCACCATCCTGGGCCCCACCATCCTGGCTCACAGCCAAGCATCTGTTGCTGTGCAAGCAAGAAGTTGGGCAGAGTGGCGCTTGTGGCAGCTCAGGGAACCCATGGCCTGAGTTGGGGCTGGAAGTGCACTGCCCAGGTGCTAGTCACAGTGGAGGCAAGGGAGGAGTCCTCTGGGAAATATTATCCAGGCTGCGTGGTGGGCAGCAGGAAGGGCGTGGCCAGGCAGGGAATCTGTAGTTTGCTGCTCACCTTTCTGGCCTGCTGGGCTTATCCCTAATATTTTGCCACAAGTTTTGTATTGGTTTCCTGGCAGCAGCCATACCACAGTGGCACAGACTGCTTGGCTGGAACAGCCCCTCTGGAGGCTGAAGCCTGTGATTCCTGTGTGTGTAAGTCATAGGGTTCTCCGACCTTCGGGGGACCCTTGTCTGTCCACAGTCATCATCAGCTCGTGTGTCTTCCTGTTTCTTGCCCACACTTGCTGTTTCCTAAGAACACTGCTGTGTGGGATTAGAGTCTACATCTAAAGACCTCACTGTAACTTGACTCATTTCCAAGTCTGCTCACAATCACAGATGCCAGGGCACCAGACTCCATCTCTTTGGGGGAAAAGTTGAGTTCATCACAGCGTTCAATTCCTTTTTCTGTGGGGCTGTCATTAGCCCCCAAACCAAGGCTCCTATGTTGATCCATTTCACTGTCTGTCCCCTACCACATGATATTGTGCCAACACGTGTCTTGAATTTCCACACATGTGTAGGTTTTCTGGCTGGGTCAGAGAATTTGATCACAACTTAAAAGAACATGTAAAACCCTGCTCACAGCCAAAAGATAGACAAGTCACAAATAGGAAAGAAGCACATGGATGTATGATACAAGTTTCATATTGTGGCAGGTAACTGAGTTAGATAAAAATATTATAGGCAGTCAGACAGGGCTGGGCTCTGGTAGGAGCCAGCCCAGAAGATTAGAGACAGACACCTCCAGTCAGACCTCAAGACAAAAGATCAAACAAAGACACCCTCATCCTAAGGACTGATATTTTACATAAGTCTCTATCACCCTGGGAAGCCAGGAGTCACTAACCCAACCCCCTACAGCCAAAGGCCCTGCCTTGTATTCATGCTCAATTGCTATGTGACTGACTTCCCCATTGGTCCATATTTAATCCATTTACCTGAGCCATTATACACCTCCTCTTATTGGTTGGCCAATGTTCTGTCCCACCTCATGCCCACCTTGCTAGTTCCCATATTTTCCTGTCTTGGACCTGCCTGGCTTTGGGGTTTTTCTCTATAAAATCTCTAGAAAACACAGGGTCCTTAGGGATCCACTCGGGACCCTTTCTGTCAGACAGAAGTTTTCAATCTGCTCCTAACCTCTGTTGTTCCTAAAATTTATTCTTCAATTCTAGAGAACATGAACTCATACCAGATATCCTGTAGTTTGAGAGCTTCTTTCTCCTAATCAATATGGCCTTCTAGCTGTTGAATAGAAATGAAGATCCCCAAAAAGCATTTGGGGTCATCATGTCTTTTTTTTTTTTTTTTTTTTTTTTTTGGCTTTTTCGTTTTTATCGGTACCAGGGATTGAACTCACGATTGCCTGCTTTCAAGGCAGGCACTTATGCCGCTGAGCTAAATCCCCAGCCCCCCATCATGTCTTTTTAATTCATTAAAAAGTTATAGTTTGAACTCTTTGTGAAACTTGATAAAAAGCTAATCAAACTCTTTTGAGCTTTATTTTCTCAAAGTTAATGCAGTAGTGCATCAAAAAACTAACATAAAACACTTGAAAAATAAAACACGGCTATATTTAAAATTATGTTTTTATTTGACATAAATCCCTTTGTTTCTGTGCTGCATTTTAGTGTGTGGAATAATACTTTTATAGTATGACACGTATCAATTTTTATCACTAAAAAAAGAGGGACAAATTGTACTTACGTGTGTGTGTGTGTGTGTGTGTGTGTGTGTTGTGTTTGTGTGTGTGTGTGCATGAGTGTGGTATTAGGGGTGGGACCCAGTGGTTGCTGCATACTAGGCAAGTACTCAATCACTGAGCCACACTTCTGGCTCTGAAATTACATGGAAGCACAAATCCTGACCTAGCTACAGTCATTCTGTTTAATAAAGGTGCAGTCATTCTGCTCTCTGCAAATGAAATCTGCCCAATGATGGGATTTGTCAACAAACTGAAACTTCTGCGAATGTGCTAAAAACAACTTTGCTACATACAACTTTGTTCACCACAAGATACCCACTGCAAAAGTTTATCTTGTGACTTCTATTTGCCATCCTATAAAAATGACAAACTCTATAATTAGGATCTCAGACTTTGGGGACCACTTCTCTGGGGTCTGCTAGCATCCGTAAAATTTCCTTTCTTCTCCTAAGCTCCTGGCTCCTATTGACTGTTTTTCCCATGACAATATTTCTGTAAATCTTGGTTGGAGAAGTTGTATTTCTGGGTTTTCAATCTGTTAACACAGATGAAAGAGATGTATTTCTCTTGAAGACACACATGGTTTAGTTAAGACAAGGACCTGAATGACAGTTGGTATTTACCTACAATTATCATAGATGACATGAATCTGAAAACATTTGGTTGGTGTTGTTTAGGGAGAGTCTGAGTGTGCATCTCAATGGATCCTGTGCTGGAAAGTTGGCCTCCACCTTGGTAGAGTGAAGATGTGGAGGACTTTCAAGAGGTGCAGCATAAATGGGGCATGGGGGAGCTGGCCTGTAATTCCCATTATTCTGGTGGGCTGAGATAGGAAGGCTGCATGTTCAAGCCTGGTGTGGGCAACATAACCACATCTAAATAAAGGAGAAAGAAAGGCAGAGGATGCAGCTAAGACAAGTGCCCTGTGTTCAAATCACAGCAAACGCTGAGGAGGCTGATGGGGGAAAGGAAGCCTTCTATGTTGTTGTGGGGATGTACATTAGTATTACTATGGAAATCAGCATGGAGATTTATCAAAACATTGATATTAGGAATTCCATTCAACGTAGATCTGCCCTGTGAAGGTCTCTTCCTGAAAGTTAAGAATGTCATATTATAGTGGTACATGCATATTCATGTTTCTAACAGCACAACTCAAAACAGCTACGTCTTGGAAGGGGCCCATATATCCCTCAGCAGATGAATGGGTGAGGAAAATGTGCTGCTTATCCACATGTGTACACAATGGAGCACCACTCTGGCATAAAGAAGCATTAATGTGAGTCATTGTGAGAAAATGGATGCACCGGGACACAAATGTTAGGTGTAATAAATAAGACACTCAAACTAAATACTGTGTAAAAGCATAAGAGAAGCAGATGAAGGGCTGAGAGAGGGAACAGAGATGCCAATAAAAAAAGTCCAGATGTGTTATGTGCTTGCAGCCACTGCTCACAAGGAATGTTATCATTGTGTGCTATAAACATGTGCCAATAAAATGAACAATTAAAAACCAAATAAACAAAAAAAGAAGCATGGCCTAGAGGGCAGTAATTAGTTCATGGAGGCGCTGGTCTTTTAAGGAACTGATGTGGTTTTTGTGGGACCACCAGTAGTTAATATATATAGTTAATAGTATAATATTATACTATTATACGAGGGTTGTTACACAAGAGTAAGCCCAGACCCTCCCCATCCTTAAATCCCAAAATTTGGCCAGGCACCATGTGACAGGTAAGGCCCTAGTTGTTCACAAGGTAGCAAGGGGCAAATGGGGTGCAGGGGGTGGAGCAAAGGGCCTTGCAAATCTTAGGCTCACACATGCACACATGGAAAAAACTGACAAATATTATAGAATTTTTATTTTTAAATTCTTAACTGCAAAATACAATAACACAAAACTCACTCATTTTTAAAGCTTAGATCGGTCTGCAAGATGCATCCAAAGACACCTGCAAACACAACATTCCTTTCTTGTGCAACCCTGTCTAAAAGTAATGGAACTTCAAATGGTCCTCTGATAAACCCCTCTTCACTGCTTTTGTATAACTGGCGCTAACAGCTTTGTGATGTAATTTACAACATAACAGAACATTTCTCTCTCTGTCACCCAAGTCTTCAACCATATGCACTGAATTTGCCTTGTGCCCCCCACTACTTACTTTCCCTTTAAAATCCCTGAGGCCGTGCTGGGCAGGGCTCTGGTTCTTCAGAAGAGACCCTGCTCAGAAGCCCCCCTGAGTAATAAACTGACTCCTTAAGCTCCTTGGTACTGTTGCATCCCATGTTTGGTCTGTTTTCTGCAACGCTAGTTCAGAGCCTGACCCTGGATGTCTCAGTGGGTGTGGCAGCAAACTCCATGACAAAGCAGGGCAGGCTAAGGCAGCAAGGAGGGGACAAGCCACAAGACAGGACTCCCACCCTACATTGCCCTTTATGTCTTATCCAGGGTACCCATGAGGGCAGATGTTATGGTTGGTATCCATGGTGCTTGAGTTAAACTCTTGATTCTTGGCCTGGCACTCCAGGAGATACTGGAAGCTCTGAGAGGTGGCGCCTGCTGAGAGGCCTTCAGTCCCTAGGTGTGCATTCTAGAAGGGGATCCTGGGACTTAGTCCTCTCATCTTCTCTTCTGCTTCCTGGGCAGCCTGTGCCACATGCTTCTAGCATGGTGTCTGGCGTCACCACGTATGGAGATGGATCACCTGGGCTGGAACCCTCAAAACTCTGAGGTAACAATCAGCTTCCCTCTTCACCAGGAGATTGTGAGAAGTGCTTGCTGGGGCACTGCTGAGCTCATCGCCTACCTCAATGACAGAACTCTCAGCCTCTGAGAGCTCCACCGGGAAGAGAATACATTTGTGCTCTTTAAGCCACCACAGCTGGGGTCGCAGACCACAGCAGTCACACACTGCTGAGCCAGTTTTACCTGTGATCTTAATTCCCCCTCAAGAAGCCTCAGCCTGACTGATGGGAACTCGTGGGTAAGAGACACAAGGAAAACCACCACCATGCACAGACACTAACAGCAGGCAGAGCCCCAAAGCACTGTTACAAGTTTTATCCAGGACAAAACCAGAAAGGAAAATAAAGAGCATAGAGACTGAAAGAGAGAAACCAGCGCACACCCCATACACACACTATCCACCAGGAGTTTGTGCACCCAGTGCTAGAACAGAGGCGAGGATTTTAGAAAAGGTCTTGACAGAAAACTGGGAAGTGCACGATTAGTGTTAAGGAAAGCCGCAGAGGGAGCAGGTGAAGGAAAGGAGAGGGAGTTGAGGGGGATGAAAATGATCAGAGTATGGTATATGCAAACCCAGTACACCAAAGACAAACTCATATTCTGAATCCCTTATATGCACCAATAAATGACAAAATTTTAAAAAAGAGAGAATGCCTAAAGAGAAGTCTGGTGTGACTTCTCCCGGAGGACCTGTTACCTTTCTCATGTGGCAGCAGAGGAAAACATGCAAATTACCATCAAAGAAGAGTAAGATTGCTGATATCACTTCTAGAAAATCATGCAAAAGTACACCAAGCTGATCCCACAAAGGGCACAGAAGATACTGACATCAATGGAGACACACGCTGAGATGCCAGGTGGGGGTTCATGTGATAAATGAAAACCTGAGTGTGCCATCATTAATTTAAATAGCATAGCAATGTCATACAAGATTATTTTGTGTGGCTGTAGAACTCTATGCATAATGTGATGGATTTCTACCATTCCAGGTGGCTGGGATCTTGACCCAGTGACTGGTGAACTCTCCCTCCCCACACAGTATCTAGAGCCAGTATATAAAAGGAGGCCACAACGGAAAGTATAAATATTCCTTCAGTGAGACAGACCAGATGAGTATTCTTATACAAATAAGGTGATATATATCCAGCTTCCTATATGGATTAAAACCCAGCTCACCATGTACATATCCTCAGCTTTTTGGTGTCTCAGTTTACCCAAACAAAGCTTTGAAGAGCTAAGTCTCCTTCTAGCTCAGGATCTTTGGCTGCCATCGGGCCCTGAGGACAATTAAGTGCCTAATACTTAGATATGCAACCCTGAGGCATCTCCCTAGGATGGCTCCTGCCACCCTGACCTCACTTACAGGCCACAGGCAGGCCTGTTCCCGGAGGGGATAATCCCCTGTGCCTTTCCTGTGCCCTATGTCCTCTCACAGATTCACAGCCCCATCCAGCTGCAGGCCTGCACTCACCATTAGCATTTCCTGCAAAGACAAGAGAGAAGCTTCTGGTTAGTGGGTGCTGCTCCTTGTACCCTGAGATCCTCTGGCCTGGGTCCATGGCATCCTGCTCAGATTCAGGCATAATATAAGGACAACCCTCAAAGAATTTGCTGGGGTGACCTGAACACCCCTCTGTCTTTCAGTTATCTTCTCAGGATTTCTGGAAGCTTCCAAGAGGCTTGTGGACCCACAGCACCCAGGGGTCATCCAGAGCCTCTGCCAACGTGTTCTCCCATGAAACCTGGCCAGATGTAACCTATGGCAATCTAGGTCTGCCTCTGACACTGACTCTAATAGACCTGTATCTTTGGAGACAAGCGGGCAGTACCTCAGCTTCAGATGCTGAGCACTGTGGTCCCTGTAGCTTTGTACCCTTTGTTCCCTTCAGTTTTTACCCTAACAAAGGAAGACGTTTTCCTAAGTGCACACATGCCCATATGCCTGGGAGGAAGGAGCCAGCCCCTTTGAGCATCAGGCCCCATTAGACCTACCTGAACCCAGGATGGGATCCATTATTGCTGTGCTGTTAGACATGGGACATTTCCAGGGTGCACATTTGTTTCCATAACACAGTATCACGACAAATATTGGAGTAATAACTACGAGTGGTGATGGAGATAGCCAGTTGGAGCTCTCTAAAAAGTGGCAAAAAGGAAACATGTCTCAGTAAGGGCAGGAACTGGCATTTTCCCTTAGCAGTCCTGTGATAAAAACAAAGCAGCTTTGCCACTTTCTGAAATATTAGACATGACAGCCCCAGGGAAAAGGCCCAGAGAACCTTTGTCATCTTCAATGTAGTTGCTTATACTCTCAGACTTCATACTATCAATCATATCAGTTTTGAATAAAATCTGTCGATACCAAACAGCAGTCAAACACACTAGATTTAACTAAGATCAGTCATGATAAAACAGTATAAGCTATATAAGGGCTCCAGATTAAGACAGTAGGAAATTAAAGATAATTACTGTGCTATATACTGATGTTTTTGGGATAGCTGTCTATGCCCTCAAATCAAATGCAAGTAGACAAACTGGGACAGAATAAAATCTATCTAGGCAGAGTGGTGCGAGTAATGGAGTTTTAAATCCTGATACACTATTAACAATGTCTTCTACAATCTTTTTTAGACTCTCCCTCCCCTTTTGCTTCCCTAGGATTCACTGTGCATTTTTGGGTCTGAACAAGACTCTTGGTTTTAAATTGGGAGGGGGGCAACATGCTGTTTACCTAAGTGGTTCTGAACCTTCCCTCTCTTGGACTTGATCTCTAATTGTATTTCTTTACCTATTAAAGCCTGTCTTTCCAACCTATCCACAAATACTGGTCTAGTGGCCCCTATTACTCTCTGGTTCTCTCTCACATAGAGCATTGTTTTCTCCTATTTGATTTTCAGTCCATGTATTCTTTTTCATGTTAATTTTATTCCCTAAAAATAGCATCTCAGTGGGCCCTACCTCCTGATCTACTCTATGTGTGGTTCTTTTTTTTAATTTAGTGTATCAAGGCCATCTATATTAGAGATTATAACCAACCTTCTCTGCCTCATTTCTGTTATGCTCTTTTTTTGCCATCAGTTGTCTACTTGTCTTCTTCATTCTGTTTTCTGCTCCATTCATTGAGGCCTCTCTGCCACTGTTCCTGGAATCCTAGTATTTTTCCCTCTCTAGAATGCCCTGAAGTATTCTCTGTAGAGTTGGATTGGTGGTTGTGAATTTCCCAAGTTTGTCTTTGTCTTGGAAGCATCTTGTTTCTCCACTAATTTGTAGAGACAGTTTAGCAGGGTGTATCAATCTGGGTTGGAGGTTATTTTCTTTCAGGGCTTAGAAATTTCACTCCAGGCTCTTCTTGACTTGATGGTTTGTGTCAAGAAGTCTCCCATTATTCTGATGGGCCTTCCTTTATAGGTTATCTGTTTCTTGTTTATAATAGCTTTTAATATTCTGTTCTTATATTGAATTTCTAGGATCTTGATTATTATATGCCTAGGTGTAGCTCTGCTTTGGTTGTAGGTGGCTGGAGTTCTGTATGCCTCATATATCAGAATATCATTTCCTTTTCCTAGGTTTGGGAAGTTTTCCTTAATTATTTCTCTGAATAGCCTTTGTAGTTACTTTGTTTGTATCCCTGCTTCTTCATTCACATTCTTTATTCTCAAGTTATAGATCTTCTTGTCATTTTCTAGCCTTTGTATCACTGCTTGTTTCCTTGTTAGTTTTAAAAATTTTTCCCTTTCATAATCTCACATTGCAAAACTGTCCTCCAGTTTGGATAGTCTATCCTGTTGCTTTCAAGCAGATTTTCCATGTTTTCATAGAGTTTTTAATTTCCTGGTAATCTCTTTGAATCTGCTTCATGTATTCCATATTTTCTTTATATTCTTCATCAAATGGTTCTCTCTTTTGTTTGACTTCCTCCCTTCTTCCATCTGTGTCTGCTTGAGGGGTGCTTAGCATCTCTTTTATCAATCTTCTTATATCTTGCTTTAGTTGGCTAAATATTTCACTTTTGAACTCATGTAAGATGTCCCAAAGATATCTCTTTATGTCCAATGGTGCCATGTCTGATATGGCATGTTTGCTCTTCTCATTCTCCTTTGTACTTATGTGTCCTGGCTCAATGTTCTCAGGATTGGGACCTGGGGACTTTTTGTTCTTACTTCCTCTTCCCATCATTTTTGTTTCTTCCAGGAGGCCCCATTTTCTTTCTTTGTTGGTTATAATGCTTCTGAAGCACACTGGCTAGATGACTCTTATCACTGAAGTGTGCTAGCGAGTTGCAAACAGGGGCAGCTTATGCTGGCCTCTCCCCTCCAGATCAGTCAAGCTGCTGTGGCCTGCACTGTATTACTGTGTGGCCACCTCCCCTCCAGGTCAGTCAAACGTCCGAGGCTTCACTGCATTAGTGTGAGCCGCTGCCATAGGGAATTGATTTTGGATAACCTATTTGGTCTCAGCCAGGTCGCATGACCCAGGTCTAGCTCATTCAACCAATCCTGTTCAGGAAGGGAACAAATGACTAAAGTCACTGCTGCCCCTTGTACTTGCCAGTCCTGCCTGGTCCTAGAATGTTGTCCACTGGAGCCCCCCTTTCTGTGAATGGCTCCACTCCCATCACTCACCACAGGTTGATGCAGGCTCCCCACCAGCTCAGCTCTCCATTTGGCTGGCCGACTCCTGATCTCAGTATGACTGTGCCTCCAGTGAGTGGAAGCCGCGGGACCTCGGATGGCTCAGCAAGTCGCCGGCTGACTTTTAGCTTTTAGCACTGAACTTTTAGCTGTTCCAATAATAGCACTGGGACTGTATGTTTGATTGGTTCTTCTCACCTTAGTTTATTTTGGGATGAGAGAATTCAGCTCCCTCTGTTCAGGGCTCCCCATGCTGTATTATGTTGAATTCTAAATTGATTATCTCAGGGAGCCTCTGTAGTCAGCTGTTATCTATCCGCCATCTTTGTTCCCCTGCATTGGTGGTATTGTGGGAAAGCTGATGAAAGACCTGTCCACACTTTTAACATTGGATATTTGTTTTATATTTTTCTTATTGAATTGTGAGAGTTCTTTTGTTTGGTTGGGTTTGTTTTTTGTTTTTTTTTTTTGTTTTTTTGGGGGTTTTTTTGGTGTTGATGTTTTGTTCTGCTTTACACATTTGGGTATGGATTCTTTATCAGATTAATATATTGAAAAATTTCCTCTATGCATTTCCCACTGTAGTGCAAGTGTCTGAGCCCAAAAGCCCTTGAAATGACTGTAATTTCCTTTGCCTGTTTTTCCTTCCTGGTCTGTGCTTTTGCTGTCATATCAGAAGTCAGTACTAAAACCAATGTCATGAAGGTATTTTCCCAAGTTTTAAGAGTTTTCTGGTTTGGGGCTTCTTTCAGGTCTTTCATCCATCTTGAAATACATTTTTGGATCTCATGAGTTAAGAGTCCAAATTTATTCTTTTATGTGTGGGTATCCAGTTTCCTCAGAGTAATTTGTTGAAAAGACTGTCCTTTCCCTATTGAATGGTCTGGCCTCAAAGGGCTAATTATTGCAGAGAATTAATTAAAATTTCAGTAGGAGATGAATGAAAATAAAATGTGTGTGTTTGTCTGTCTGTCTGTTTAGGTGTGTTTTGATTATTCAGCGATAAAAAAAGAATGAAGTACTGACTCACACTAGTGCCTCTCTTGGATGAATCTTAGTGATGCAAGCCACAAAAGGCCTCGTGTGGTCTAAGGCCTTTTATGAGAAATGCCCAGAACAGCACATCCAGCGATGTAGAAAGCTGGTGAGAGGTGGCAGGGGCTGGGGCTGCAGCATCACTGTCTACTGGAGATGGAGCTCCCTCTGGGAAGACAGGTCTCTTTCAGAGCTAGGAGGAAGGGGTGGTATTTGGTGACACTGACTCAACAAATTAAAATGATACAGGGGATGTGGGCAAAGAGGGCCATGGGGTGAAAATGGTCAAAGTCTGCCACAGTGAAACCCACTGATCTTTGTAAGCAACATGCATTCATAAAACATGTAGAAATATAATATGATTAAGTTTATATCAAATGAATCCCACTTAAATAAAAGTATAGTCAGACTTTAAAAAGAAAACCAGACTCTCTTACCTGGATCAGCCTCACTGCAGACTGTGTTGGCCATGGCATTGCATTCCTGCACAACTGGGATCCCCTTGGGACAGCTAGAGAGAGATAGCATCCACTTCTTCCTGCTTGGAGTCCATCTCTTTCTCTGAGATCACCCTGTCTCTGGGGCCATCTCTAGGTTCATCCATAAGAGTCCTATTACATGCCCCACCCACTCCTGGAGACAGCTTATGTGGTCAGAGACATGAAGGACCTCCTTAGGGTCCACACTCTGCCCAGCCTCAAAGATGGTATGGCTATGATTCTTACTGATGGACCAAGTTAACTGATTTTCCTCTTCTATGAACCCTTACAACCTGATTGGTGGTCTAGGATTGAAGGGAAACAGGAACTGTTTCTGATTGCTTCATGAAGGGTCTCACACTGGCAGTGGATTAATCCGTTGGTGAGATCATAATTTGATAGAATCACTGGGAGGTTGTGAGAACAGGAGGTTGGGCCAATTCATGGGACATGTCTCTGGGGGCTCTGTCTGGTCCCTGGTCTTTTCCTGTCAAGCTCTTGGCCTCTCTGCTTGCTGGTTGCCTTCTTCTACTCCACCCCTTCACCATGATGTTTCTGACCCAGAAACAGTGGATCCAGCTAACCATGGACTGAAACGTCTCAATATATGAACCAAAATAAACCTGTCCTGTCTCAAGGAGGTTTTCTCAGGCATTTGTTCACAGTGTGGGCAGCCTATCACCAATGAGAATGAGGCCACAAGAAAACATCCAAGTTATTGGTTACATTACTCTTCCACATGGCGGGTGGTACCCCTTAGTGTTACTGTACAGACAGAAAACAATGCTGGGCATCCGTAGAAGTGACCCAATACAAAGCAGCAGTGAGAGGAAGATGCCAGACCCTCCCCCGCCCAGGGTCTACTTTGGCACCTGCTGCATGGGAAGCAGTGCTCCACACAGTTTTCTGTGTCACAGTAGTAGCCCTTGCTACACCGACACTGCTGGTCAGCAGCCGAGGACAGAAGGAGACCACCTCCTGATCTATTAGAAGGCCAAAGGTGAGTCACCAGGGTGGGACACTGTCCCCTTCTACACTGGTCACAACACACTGGGACCCCTCCATATGCTCTTGATCCTGGGCATGGAGTCTGCCCTCACCTTCTCTTCTAACACAGTGACCAGGAAAAGGTAACCAGGGCCCTTCCCTCTGATGGGTGTCATCTGTGCAGAGGCCAGCAAGATTCCCTTCACCCCTAACAGAAGAGTACACTGCCAGTGTGCTTTTGTTTGTTGGTTCATTTGTTCCTTGTGGTGCTGGAATTAAATCC